GGAAGCTGGTCGGCAGCGCGAGGAGCTTGGCAGCGTCTCGTTCCCTATTGAGAGATATGTTACACCAGTAACCAGAGATGTTCTCTTTCATAGGTTCACTCAACGCTGCGTAGCTAAGAAGCAGTGGATTTGTAGGCTGCTGTATCACGTGCCGTTTGAACTGACGCGCTACAGCGATCTGTCACATTTCAAAGAGCCAAAACGTTATTTATTGTGTGAATCTCGTAAAAATATTGACAGAATCTGACAGCTGTGGATTTGTTCCATATCAAAAGTAACCTTCTCTGTCTTGTCTGTCCGTGTCCTCTTTGTCCGCGATTTCTCTGTGTGAAAAGGGTCATTTGCGTGAGTCTCACGGTCAATGCGTGAGAGTTGGCAGCTCTGCCTGCTAGTAATCTCTATTAATCTCCAGTATTATTACATTGTTTGATACAATATTGTTTCATTTGATATTATGTAAATATGATTTTTTATTTTATATTGGTTTTATTATTACCATATGTTACTTGTATTTATATTGTTTAAAGATTTAAGTTAATATTGTGTCCAGTTTGGCCCTGTAAATTAAAGGGTATTATTTTTTGATAAAGTGTGTGCGGTTTCATTTTCTTAAGTACCGATTTAAGAACCGTTTAAGCACCGGAACCGTTTAAAAAATACCGAGTAGGTACTGGAATCGGATAAAACCCAAACGATACCCAACCCTAATTATAACATTATTTATTGTTTTAGCACTTGTATGATGGCAAGCAGTAAACGATTTACGGTGGAAAAGGCTCTGGAACAATTACTGGAGAGTGACGAGGAGAAAGCATTGCTTAGAAAATTCTAAGCATTCCTAAAAAAACGCCTAGGACTATTTGTAAATAAAGTTACATTTTTCATTGTTCTTTACACATTTTATTTAACAATTACACATGTCTGTCAAGCAAAGGCTTTGACAAATATATTTTTTGTTCAAAAACTGTTCACTATTGTTGTGTGATGTGTGATTTTCAGAAATAAATGACAAAAATCTCATTTCCGTTTTTGAAATTCTCTAGTTTATTGTAAATTTTTCACTCATACTTCCTTTATAAACACATTACACGCATGCTTATGTTAGCTTAGGGTCTTCTGGATCCATAGATATCAAACACATAGTGTTTCATCTCCATTACATATGGTTTATAAGCCCAAATGTAAAAATAGAGAAAACGGACCAAAAGGGGCTTAGTCCCCAGAGGGTTAAAGATGGTGTTCAACATACTTAGTTTTGAGTTTTGAGTCTCCTGCTAACTGGTTAACTCACATTACTGAAATACTTCTGCTAATCAGTTGTGGGCCACTATTACCTAAAACTGTGTCTATTAATGCAGATTGTCTGTCGAGATTAAGCATGAAGCAAGTTTTGTTTTACCAACATTTATATTACATCAGTCATTCATGCTAGAGCTCGGTTAATGTATACACTGTTATTGATACAGTTTTCATGTTCACCGCAATAAATTAGAAAAACACTCGGTAAATAAATAAGTACAAGTAAAATAATCGGTTTGTTGATGGACATGCACTTGTTAATGCTGATGCTGAGGAGTTGCAACATCTCATAATGTCCCTCAAACTGAGTAGCGTATCACTGAGAAACACTAAATCCTGTCCTTGTGATAGTGGATAGTAGACTAATATAACTAGTCCGGTTCTCGCGCACTGTACGCGGTAAACCAATCACAATAGACTGAGCTGTCTGGCCAATCAGAGCAGAGTAGCTCACGGAAAGGAGGGGTTTAGAGAGATTGATCTGGCGAGTCGTTTGAGAATCATTGAAAATGTGATGATGTGCAAATGTATATTATGAGAAAATGAATTTTTTTTTTTTACCTTTGATGCAGGTAAACCTGTTGTAAGAGAATCCAAAACAACATTAGGAAACTTTAAAATAGCATAATAGGGGCACTTTAAGAAAAATACTAGAATGAGAAAATGAACATCCGACATTGCTTTCTGCACTGATTGAGACAGGTGTATCTTAAAATATGTAAAATATTAACATTATTAGGAGCTTCTTCCTCAAGCAGATGCTGACGATCTTCAGGCGTAACCCATGGTTCTTACAAAATACAGTAATAATATCTGCTGGAAATGTTTATTAGATATTTTTCAAGAATGTTGTTGCTGCTTTTTACATAATTATTCTTATTTTTTTTCTTCCTCTTCTTCTCTGATGACTAAGGTGGGGCAACCTGTCACTCACATGAGATCCACCCATAGCAAACCACAACCAGCCAATCAATTACCCACAGACACAATCAAGCCCCGCCCACATTTGTTCTTGTTCCAGAAGCGTTTCACTCTTATATAGAGGGTTTTCACCAACGTCACGTTCTGGGGTGCGTTTCCCAAAAGCATCGTTGGCCAACTATGATCGCAATTTCCATTGAACTCTATTGGTAACGACGGAACTTGCGACCATAGTTGGCTTTGGGAAACGCACCCCTGGGCGGTAACCCGGATGCGCGGCCATTATGGAGGCACTCGGATGTAAACAACAGCATGGATTGCACTGTTTATGTACTACTGAACACATTGTTACACTAATAAACCATGGAAAAAAACACGTGGTGCGAAATCATATAGATAAGGACTTAGTAAGCAGGAGAGAGCGCAAAATTTTGACAAACTAAAGTTAATGGGCCCTATCTTGCACTCGGCGCAAATGACTTTGTTTACTGACGCATGTATCATTCCTATTTTGATCCCGCGTAAAGCGGACTGCAAAATAGACCTCCACAGACACACGTCGGTTAACTAAGAAATACACTTGCGCTCCCCGGGGCGGTTCAGCGCAAAGAGGAGGCGTGTTCCGGCGCAAACTTTCCCTCATGCTATTTTGCTGTTCTATAAAACAATTGCGCCACTGACCAGAAAAAAACTAGTCTAAAGTCAGTGGCGCGTTGCGCGTTGTTCATTATGCTATTTTAAGGGCGCATGCTTGGCCATAATCAATGTAGCGTGTGCACAACGCGCATACACTTTGATTCTCTCATGTAACCAGCAGTTTTCATTTTTGCAAATCATACATTATTACGATAGATAGATAGATAGATAGATAGATAGATAGATAGATAGATAGATAGATAGATAGATAGATAGATAGACAATTTATTATAAAAGCATACATGTACCTTACACATTTACCCAAATTATCATACGCCTGTTTAACAGAAGTTAATTTGGGTGGGTTTCTCCATCCCCAATGTCACTTCTCTGTGTTTTACGGCCCTGACGAGAACGTTGCTCTCCTCGGCTGTGAACCGCTCCTGGCGTGCGCCTGGCAAATTCGCCGTTATAATAGGAATCCGCTTTAGAACAAGCGCACCTGCTCTTAAAGGGAATGTGAGATGACGCTCTGATTGGTTTATTTCACATTACGCCCAAACCACACCTATGAATAATGAAGCTACTTCAGACCAACCCCTTTTAGATTTGCGCCTGGCGCAAGAGGCATTTATCCCGCCGGGAAAATAGCAACAGCGCCGGGATCCGCCCACAAAGTTACTTGCGCTTTGCGCTTTGACACTTGCGTTTCAGATCGTTAAAATAGGGCCCAATATGTGGTAAAGATCCGAACGAGCTAGCTTCTCTAGCCCTTACTGCAATTCTTCCTTCTATTTCTTATCACGACATAGGCTACGTTCAGATTGTCAGTTCAAAAAAGTACATGAAATCCGTTTTAAGCTACATCCATATGTGGTTTGAAATCCTATTCAAATCACATATCAGGACATCAGCTTCAGTCTGAACGATCGGATTTTGCGTGGTATGTAACTCTCAGTCTCAGGCCATGTAAAATGTAAACGTCAGACGTTGTTAGAGGACACATGCTGAAAGTCGCTGCGGAAACAATTCTGTGTTGTTGCAAAGTGCCGGACGAGCAGAAAATTATCATGTCTGAAACCTATTTTGAAACCGGCGCAGACAAGAGCGCGGAAAAAAGCTGTGCATACCAGCCTCCTACAGTTCTGCAGCTCAAGACGCAGTATAGTCCAGCGCGACGGCTACACATTTCCATGTTGTAAAATTTAAATAAGACAACATCTCTATTGCAAATGCAAACCCCTCCATCAACGCAACGTCATTGCCACATTGCCAAAGAGCTGCATGGACACACACATCTGATCAGAACAGTTGCGATACACAGTGTGGACATCATTTTAGATCAGATTTCAATCGGATACAAAGATAATCGGATTTGGACTGACAGTGTGAATGTAGCCATTAACTACGTCAACATTTTAGCCATAGTCAACGCTTCATTTACACTTGTGGCTGACTCTGTGCCTCTCTCAACCACAAACGCCTTCTTTCATCAGTTTCTTGCACTCTTCTCTTTAACTTTTGACAGTCTATAGAACTCGAAATGTTTTTTTCCGATGCGACCGATTAGTACAGACCAAAACTCGACCATTTTTCAGCAGCAATAATCAGCCAAATTTGCTGTCCGTTCAGTTCAGTGGCATTGTTTACGTTCAGTGCCTCCAAAATGGCCGACATCAGGATTGATGACGCGTAGTGAAAACCCTCTATACGTCACAATAGAGGAGAAAAGACAAGCTCAACTTTCCTTTCGCAACGACTTTAACATTGCAAAATGTTATCATCTTAGCACTGTTCCGGTCAATCAACCGTCCTTGTGCACTAAGCCTGAGGAAGGGCTAAGCTAATAATATTTTGATATGATGTAAGTGTGAATAGTGTGTGAGATTAATACATTTTTCGAGTTCATATTGGACTTTTATCCGACGCATCTATGAATTATTCAGGTGTGCGAGGCATCATATTTTCTATAAGGTAATTATTTTGACAGCACAGTGTACACGGGAATTATTACAGTATATCTGATGTTCATCAGTAGGAATCAGAAACAATAGGCTACTATAATTTTCTTAAAATGAGAACAATTAACAATAAATCATCTTCTGCTTGAATATATAAGCAGTGTTTCTTTGAATTATTGTCCATAGTGTCAAACTTTAATTTAAAAAAGTGTTTTCACGAATCTGTATGACTTTAACAACACACACGTCACATTACAATTATCACAGAAAAAGCTTCAAACCAGACATTCAATAAAACCTATGCAACACTTCATCATTGCTTAACCCTATGTGACCCATTCTTCATATAGTTCATTATACGATAAATTCAAATGCACTAATTTAAACTGCTGTGAGAAAATCCACATATTTGCTAAAGTGTCTTAATACAATTAATTTGAACATAATATTGACTGTTAACACATCACACAAGAAAACATGACATGATATATGTGCATGAAAACTGTTTCAGAGAAATGTAAATCTTACTGATGGAAGGAGTCAACACTGTTGAGTTCCACGTGTACATTAGTACAGCAATGCCTTGCAATAATCTTTTAGAAAGTTTAAAAAAACGTTAGTTGTTGCCTGGTTCTTTACCACCCCTGTAAAGCTGCATCTAATCCATTATTTCACTGAATAAGCTCCCGTACGAAAACCTGATACATTTATTAAGAGGAAAAGCTTGTAGTTCTGCTCCCCCACATTTAATCACACAATTAGCATATTGTAGTTAACTCACTGTCTCAGCAAATATATTTTTTCCTAAATCCTGTTCTAAATAATTTAATAGAGCACTATTCTGCTGTTCCCATCTGTGTTTAGTGTGTAATGTTGCTGTTTGATCATGAAAAGCTCCAGTTCTTCTCTATATCAGTGTCAGTGTTCCTGAACTCCTGAAACGCCTCTACTGTAGTCTTGAGTTTCTTCCGGGAACGAACACGTCACAATATTCCTCATTACAATAATTCATAAGCAGAATAAAGGGGCGGGGCCTAGTTGAGTTAGTTAGTAGTGTGTTAAACTGGCACTTTTGGTAAGGGGTGGGACATTTCCCAAACACACTCGACCAATCACAACACACCGATCTAGCCCACCAATCAGAGCACAGTGTGCTTTTCAGGAGGAGGGGCTTCATAGAGACAGGAAGTAAACAGAGCGTTACTGACAGACTGGGAAGAGAGGAGCTGCAAAAATGGAGAATATGAGGAAATAATCAACATTCAAGCAGGAAAACCTGTTCTAGTAGAGCCTGAAACAACATCAAGACTTTGTAAAAGGGCAAAATAGGTCTGCTTTAAAAATTGTAAAGATATTTCAGTTCTCCAAAATGTTGTCAAAATATATCTGACAGCAGTTTCATTTAAAATGCTCAGGACTATATTATATTAAATGTGTTAGTATCCAATGTTAATTCTGTAATACTAAAACAACTCTCATTTGATCAGGATCTCTATCCAGAAGAGTGTAATCTGATCGTGAGCCTGAATTATTTTTCTTTTCAATGCATTTTCCATTCATTTCTATAGAGCGTACAGTGAAGCGTGAGGTGATGAAGCGCGTCACACGTCTTCTCTCGGGCGAGTGTTGAGGGACTCAGACTCGAAAACATCATCTTCCATTCCTTCTTCTATTGGCTTCATAGTCGTGGATCCTTTTGGCAGAGGATTTTTCTCTGTAGAGAGAGAGAGAGAGAGAGAGAGAGAGAGAGAGAGAGAGAGAGAGAGAGAGAGAGAGAGAGAGAGAGAGAGAGAGAGAGAGAGAGAGAGAGAGAAACAACACTTGTTGTCAATGTGCAACGTTATTTCATAATAACAGTATCTTGTTACATATTAAGATTCAAGTGTAATGTTTTATAAAGTCATATGGAGGCAAAATGTATCATTCGATGTATTAAGGGTATTAACTGTTTCCACAGCTCAACAATATCATCACAGTAATGTGAATAAAATCACTCAAACAATAAAATGACAACTCTGTTAAACACACTCTGTGCATGTTATATCACACTTCTGGTTCTGTTGACTTCCATTTATACGTATGTGAACGCGGGCGATCGCAGAACGCTGACCTGCAGATTCATAGCATTGCATTGCAGGAGTGGAGAAGATAGTATTTTGTTTTTTAATTATTATTTATTATATGTTGAATTTATGGTTCACTGGACCGTTGGAGTGTCTGAAGAAATTCTGCATGCCCAAAGTCCAGTGTGACCCTGGCAGTGTTTTAATAGTGACCTTTATTAATAATGTCTGAAACGCATGCTTTCAGAGTGCATTAGTTTACACACCCCTTTCATAATCTTAAACTTTTCTTTTATTTAGAATTTAAAAGATAATAAAGAAAGATATTGTTCGAGAGCTGTAGTTCCAGCCATGCAAGTTTGCGATGCTTTTTGCGAATGTTCGTTGGAACTGTGGTTTCAGGAGACGTTAAACTACAGTCGTAACGACAGAACTTGGGTAACGATGCTTTGGGTTCGTACAAGGTGATTAAAGTGCTTGAATTTGACTTTTGGAAATTGAAGTCTTGGAAAACCCTTGAAAACAGCCATTTTTATGAAGAAGTACTTGAAAAGTACTATTTATTTATTTTAAATTTATTGATAAAACTATCTTTTCACACAAATTAATGCTGGAGCCCGCGATTGGCTCACTCTCTCTCCTCCCCCATCATGAGTGGACATGCCCCCTACTGCTGATTGGCTCACTCTCTCTCCTCCCCCATCATGAGTGGACATGCCCCCTACTGCTGATTGGCTCACTTTCCCTCCTCCCCCATCATGAGTGGACACGCCCCCTACTGCTGATAGGCTCACTCTCCTCCTCCATCATGAGTGGACACGCCTCCTACTGCTGATTGGCTCTATCTCCCCTCCCCCATCATGAGTGGACACGCCCCCTACTGCTGATAGGCTCACTCTCTCTCTCCTCCTCCATCATGAGTGGACACGCCTCCTACTGCTGATTGTCTCTCTCTCCCCTCCCCCATCATGAGTGGACACGCCCCCTACTGATGATTGGCTCACTCTCTCTCTCCTCCTCCATCATGAGTGGACACGCCTCCTACTGCTGATTGTCTCTCTCTCCCCTCCCCCATCATGAGTGGACACGCCCCCTACTGATCATTGGCTCTCTCTCCTCCCCCATCATGAGTGGACACGCCCCCTACTGCTGATAGGCTCACTCTCTAATCCCCCATCATGAGTGGACACGCCCCCTACTGCTGATAGGCTCACTCTCTCTCTCTCCTCCCCCATCATGAGTGGACACGCCCCCTACTGCTGATAGGCTCACTCTCTCTCTCTCCTCCCCCATCATGAGTGGACGTGCCCCCTACTGCTGATTGGCTTACTCTCTCTCCTCCCCCATCATGAGTGGACATGCCCCCTACTGCTGATTGGCTCACTCTTTCTCTCCTCCCCCATCATGAGTGGACACGCCCCTACTGCTGATTGGCTCACTCTCTCTCTCCTCCCCCATCATGAGTGGACACGCCCCTACTGCTGATTGGCTCTCTCTCTTCCCCCATCATGAGTGGACACGCCCCTACTGCTGATTGGCTCATTCTCCTCCCCTGTCATGAGTGGACACGCCCCCTACTGCTGATTGGCTCTCTCTCTCTCTCTTCCCCCATCATGAGTGGACACGCCACTACTGCTGATTGGCTCACTCTCTCTCTCCTCCCCCATCATGAGTGGACACGCCCCTACTGCTGATTGGCTCTCTCTCTCTCTCTTCCCCCATCATGAGTGGACACGCCACTACTGCTGATTGGCTCACTCTCTCTCTCTCCCATCATGAGTGGACATGCCCCCTACTGCTGATAGGCTCACTCTTTCTCTCCTCCCCCATCATGAGTAAACACCAGGGGCATGTTCAAGATCACAACGGTGCGCAACGTTTTGCTACGGTTTCCGGGTTGAACGTCATGTTTCCTGGAAACGGGGTGCACCGTGTGCAACGGGGTTTGAGATGTGTTTTCTCTTGTTTGGTGGGCGTGTCAGAACTGCAGTCCAATCAGCAGCAACATGTATATAAAGCACACGGTATTAAAGAGAACTCGCACAATGGAAGTAATTTACAAATGTGTTCCATACGCAACAACTAAGGATATCAGAAGACATGTTTGTCACAAGTATTATTGTAAAAATATAGGATATCAACATAATGATGTAGTTGTTTATATTTTTAGCTTCATTGCAAGTGTGTGGCATTTGGTATAGAAATAAACAATGCATGTAAAGTGCTTTTCCTAAAAATGAGAAAGAAAATACAGGGTATTAATAAAACATTATGAACAACAAGAATGTGGGGCTAAATAGATGTGTTTTAGTCTTTATTAGGTAAGATGTGCTTCCATTTCAGTTTCCACAAATCCCTTCACTCGATTGGGATGTTCTCTTGTGTTCTGGGCGGCAAGTGCAGTAACTGTAACATCGGGCATATTTTGTAGTATTAAACATATTTATACCGACTTCATCAGGCTCCGAAAATTCTTCACAAAGAACACAAAAAGCCTTCTCAGCTGCCGTAGTTGCAACTCTTGCGTCATCACAACAGTGCGTTCAACGCATCACCGTTTCTGTTTGAAAAACGTTCTGCAACGTTTTGTCGGCGCTGAACGCAGCCCTGGCTTGTGAACAATTCAGAATTGAATTGAGAATGACTCCTGAATTCCAATTCAATTCTTGAATTTAAATTGATGTCAAAAACAGGATCTAGAATTACAATTTGAATTTGAATTAAAGGAAGCAGAATTAGTCACATGACCATCATGTTTTTTAAATACCTCAGTTTTCACAGTCCACACTACAACACGAAAACACCGTTTTAAAATGTATAGCGTTTTCAAAAAGCTTGATTTTCATTAATAAAGACGCCGTCTCAGTGTGACGGAAGGCCAGACCGGAGAGGAAAAGATGCGTTTCAAACGGACACTCAATAGTGTGGACAAGGCCTCAGTTCTGAAGGCGAAAGTGGGTCCGACCCGCTACTAACAAAGTGTACCTAATAAAGTGGCCAGTGAGTGTACAGTGCAGTGCTCATTATATCATGATGAACTCAGTGAAAACTGTACGGCGTGATGTTATTGGGAAAACTCATCAAATGCAGTGTGCCGTGTGTTAAAGGTTAACTTCATAACAGGTCTGGTTATCAGAATTCACGTGTTCTTATGAAGGTAAAAGAGTAGCAATACTCGAGAGCACGTAGATGTGAATTTGAGAACTTGTACAATAAATATTCGTTCTTGTATGTGAACATTTACACTCACAGCTCCAATGTGAAAACCTGTAAAATAAAAATCTGAAGTTGAATGTTGAAATTTGCACTCGCAGACAATAGTCACAAACCTGTATTCTGAATCTGAAGCTGCAGACAAGTAGTCACAAATGTGTAAAATGCCATTCAAAAAGATACAACGACAGACACAAACTTGAAATACAAATTTGCACTTCTTCTAACATTCAAATTCTCAGTACAACCTCAAATTAGCACTTGAACTGTCACTGCAAGTTCAAATTTCGCGCCTTGACTTTTGCTACTCTTTTCGCGATATATGAGGTGCAAAACTGATTTGTGCACTTGTAACTCAGTGGCGGCGAGAGAGAAAAGGGGGCGGGAGCGGGGGGTGAATTTGTGTTGAATGTTGAAAGTTTGTGTTTGTGTTGAAAGTTGAATTTGTGTTTGTGTTGAAAGTTGAATGTTGAATTTCAACATTCAACTTCAGATTTTTATTTTACAGGTTTTCACATCGGACCTTTGAGTGTAAATGTTCGCGTACACGTACGAATATTAATTGTACAAGTTCTCAAATTCACATCTACGTGCTCTCGAGTTTTGCTACTAATTTACCTTCATATGTTCTGAGCACGAGAAATGAGTTAATCTACGTTCTGGTTATGTTTCAAAATGACAATTGGGTCATTTTTTGTTGGGGTTGAGGAAGAGAAAGACAGTGAGATATAAAAAGAAAGCATCTTACAGCCCATCATCAGGCCCGATCTGAGGTCACAGCTAGAGGAGAACAGGAGAGACGTCAGAGTTCACACAGCACAGGGGTACACACACACTGACATCACACCTGTGCGCATGCACTGGACTACTTGCACAACTACTCCTGCATTATACTCATACATCTCACGAGTGTCCGGTAACAGCAGTCAGCACGTTTACAGTCTTTTACCGTTAAAATTACAATCATTCGTATACAGTGTATATCATATTTTGTATTCCATTTTTATATGAAAAGGAGATGCGTATTGAATATTCTAAATATACATGTCTTTTTTTCTGCATACCTGTTTGGAAAAACATGAGGATGAGTAAGAAATGACAGATTTTGTGTATTTTTGTTGAACTATTCATGTATTCAATACTACATTTTCTAAATGTCACAAACATTTGTTAACGCCGCGAGTATCGGGCTTGTGTGGAACCATCCGCCATGTCCCGAGCACTTAAAGGCTGATGATTGGTTTTTGGGGGAGGCAAACCCAAATCTTTTCTACCCGGACGTGCATGAAGAGGTCATGAGATCGCGGGAGTCTCCTTTGACTTTTCGCGACTGCTCAGCGGCCTCTTCCTCCTCCTCTGCCCTCGCAGAGGCCGCGGACAAGGGTACACTGGGGTTCCCTCCGTGGAATGTTCTGTGGCAACACATCTGTGTCCCCAC